TCTCTCTCTCTCTCTCTCTCTCTCTCTCTCTCTCTCTCTCTCTCTCTCTCTCTCTCTCTCTCTCTCTCTCATGAGAATGAATCTTCCTCTTTATCGTTCTTGTTGGGCATGTCTCTTTTCGTTGTTGTTTTTTTTTGCAGAATGTTGTTCTTTTTTTTTTTTTTTTTTTTTTTTTTCCCGCTGTGTACTACCGGTTGTCCGAGACTCGGCAACAAAGTCCGAGGCTTGGCAATGACCGGGATACCGGTAGCCTGAGCCACGGGCCTTGACAACCGGTAGGTACTGGTGGTTTAAGATCGCGCATCAATCCAGGCCGTTGGCCCGGTACCTTGGACCCGACGGCCCAGATCATTTGCCTGTTGGAGAATGCCGTGGTACCTGTACGGTTTCTTGGTGCGGTACCTACCGATAGGGTTTTGAGTTTGGCCAAACTGGTTCCCGTAGCCGCGTGTACTCTTTATGGGGCTCGTTCCACACCACTCGAAACTCAAGGGTTTCTTGCCCAACACGGTTCCACCGTGCCCTTGAGTTTCGCTAATGACTGGCCAGACGCCATTGAACTCTCAAGGGCGGCTCAAGTGCGGCCCACGAGGTGATTTCTCAAGTGACCTCTTCGGGCCAGAGAAGTGTGCACAAGAGCAGCCCTTGAGACGTGTGCACAAGAGGTGCCCTCGAGAAGTGTGCAAGAGAGGTGCCCTCGAGAAGTGTGCAAGCGAGCAGAGCGAGGCGGTTTCAGGTACGTGTAGAACTCCCCAATGTTTTTTTTTCACCCGTTTATTGTCCTTTTTCTAATGATTGTCCTTGTTGAACCTCTCCCGAGCTGTTTCCGCTCATTTCAAGGGCGGACTCGAGGGTTGAGTGGAACGGTGCCATCTTCAAGTGTTTTTTAATGACGTTTACGGTGAACGGCGGCCCAAGTGCACACTCGAGTTTCGAGTGAAGTGCAGTGGTGTGGAACGAGGCCCTATGCTCGACTTCGACCTTACTACTCTACACTACCACGCTCCATCTCGACTTGGCATGTGGATACAGGCACGCACACGGCATCCCGGTCAGACTGTCGGGGTTCAACCTCCTGATGAGTCGGTGGAAGTCCGACGAAACAGCCTGCTCAGTCATGCTGTTTTATAGAGTCGCGTATATCGAACATTACAACACACACACATACACAAACATACCCAGACTGAACACACACTACGCTTTTTCACTTGCCGAAGGTTGGGTTCAGCATCCTGAAGGTTGCACGCGGACAAATGCATTGCGTGGAGGCTTTCAGACGACCACGTTATGATGACTGACGGTGAGTTAAATCTGTTGCTTTCATTTCGTTGTTCGCGTTGATCTACGAGAAGAGTGTGTGTGTGTGTGTGTGTGTGTGTGTGTGTGTGTGTGTGTGTGTGTGTGAGAGAGAGAGAGAGAGAGAGAGAGAGAGAGAGAGAGACAGAGGGAGAGAGTGAGAGACCCACACGCTCCTACGATCAAGTGTAGTATCTGCTCCTATCAGTTTCATATCTGATCCGTGGTCCATCGAGACTTGAAACGAAAAAAAAGAAGCATGCGTGCGAGCGAGCGAGAAAGCAAGAGAGAGAGAGAGAGAGAGAGAGAGAGAGAGAGAGAGAGAGAGAGAGAGAGAGAGAGAGAGAGAGAGCGAGAGAGAGAGAGAGAGACCCGGCCCCACGATCAAGTGTAGTGTCTCCTCTGATCAGTTTCATATCCGATCCGTGGTCCAACGAGACTTCAAAAAAAAAAAAAAAAGAGAAAACTACGGCGCAGTCAGGGTTTGAGTTTGTAATTACACTTGAGGCAAAAGGGCCGGTAATGCTGAATGTATATGACCTACGTTTCGGGTCCGGTGGGGTCGCGTGGGGGTGTGTTGTATTCGCGGGATTGCCTGAAGTGCAATTACAAACTGTTTTCGTGACTGCGCCGAAGTTACCCCCCCAAAAAAAAGCACGTGCACGCGCTCGCGCAAGCGAGCCAGCGAGCGAGCGGGAGAGAGAAAGAGAGCGAACCCAATCTACTAACGCGATCAAGTGTACTATCTGCTTAGATCAGTTTCATATCGGATCCTGCTGCCACACGATCAAGCGTAGTATCTGCTCCTTTCAGTTTCATATCTGATCCGTGGTCCATTGCGACATTTTTTATATAAAAAAAGATTAAGAAAAGCACGCGCGCGCGCGCAAGCGACAGACACACAGACAGAGAGAGAGAGAGAGAGAGCGAGAGAGAGAGAGAGAGAGAGAGAGAGAGAGAGAGAGAGAGAGAGAGAGAGAGCCACCCGGCCCCACGATCAAGTGTAGTAATCCTCGGGTCAGTTTCATATCTGATCCGTGGTCCATCGAGACTTCAAAACAAAAAAAACGCACGCGCACGCGCGCGCGACAGGGAGCCATCGAGCGAGCGGGGGAGAGAGGGAGAGAGTGAACGCAATCTACTTACTATGCGCCTCGCCCCCCGGCCCCCCCACCCGGTCAAGTGTACTATCTGCTTCGATCAGTTTCATATGGGATCCTCCCGCCACACGATCAAGCGTAGTATCTGCTCCGTTCAGTTTCATATGTGATCCGTGGTCCATCGTAACCTTTTCATTTTAAAAAAAGATAAAAAAAAGCACGTGGGCGAGCACACGAGAGAGAGAGAGAGAGAGAGAGAGAGAGAGAGAGAGAGAGAGAGAGAGAGAGAACCCCATCTAACCAACTACGACCCCCCTCCTCCCCTCCTCCCCCACGATCAAATGCAGTATCTGCTTCGATCAGATCCATGGTTCATCGAGACGGTTAAAAAGAAAAAGCAAAAAAAGAAGTGCGCCGAAGATGCGGGAGAGAGATTTGAGAGAGAGAGAGAGAGAGAGATGGAGAGAGACCCCAATCTAACTAACTACGCGCCCCCCCCCCCTCCCCCATCAAGTGTAGTATCTGATCCGTGGTCCATCGAGACAGTTTACAGCAACCAAAAAAAAGCATCTGGTCCATCGAGACAGTTTACAGCAACAAAAAAAAAAAGCACCTGCGCCAGAAGCTTGAGAAAGACTAGAGAGAGGGAGTGAGAGAGGGGGACACAGAGACACCAATCTAACAAACTACGCGCCCCCCC